TTCTTGACCGTCGATCGTTTGATTAGTCATTTTAATGATGCTATTTTACAGTTAGTGATCTGAATGCGGTGTAAATTTTGTTTGGCAATCGGTTTGTGGTTATTGATGCTTCTCATCTGTCCCGCGGTGAAGTTGGTTAATGTCCTGCTATTGAAGAACGCCGCAACTGAACGCGCGCTGCAAAGGAATTCGTCGGCTCTCGTGTAATCTTTTACGCTTTCCAATGTTGATTATTAATTGCTCTCTCATTCAATAGATATTACATTCCAATCATTCCATACATATCTTCATATGGAAATAGTATGTTTAAGTAGGCAAGTTTGGTATCATTCGGAATGTTCATGAGTGTTCGTTACAACATACATACCTCGACACATGTGCGTTTTGAGATTTAAATATTCAGGTTAATATTGTTTATCGTTCTGAGACTCTGTTTTGGTTCATCAGGTTCTGTTTGTCCCGCGGTATGTCGTAGTCCATAATACGGTGGTATACCGATTTCATAAATAGTTTCAGTGCTCACGTCTTACTTGCTGACAATTAGTATGCTTGCTCAAACGAAGGACTTTTGACCGTTGATATCATTTTCTAAAACATCGGTTCTCTAAACTGCAATCTTTGCATAATCGCTTAATCATTTCCATTGAGAAATTAAGTAGACAGCGCGTCTACTTATTTGCCTCTTACAGCGATTAGAAATTGATTTTCGATTGGTTTATGCATGGAATTATAAATTTCGAATGAAATATCATCACAATTCAAATACACTGAATGTTTTCTATTACGATTGTATGGACAACAATTGTATTCAAAACGCGTTTCAGTGATCTACATTGGGTTACAATCGTCTATTTGTTTATGCAAGCAGACTATGGCGCCAAGCTAGTATAACATAAATACTAAACGTCTTTTTACAATATGCCTGCCTCGTGTATAGTTTCTATAGAGTTTTTTCATGTGATTAATCTTAATTACCCAATTTCAATATTTATTTTCTTTGTTTGATATTCAAAGCATGTAATACGGTATCAAAGGCATACACAGACAGACTTGACTTAGCAGCCGTACAGGTTTACTAAATGCTGCGTTCCGACCTTTGGAACACGTCTTTGTCATTCATGTAACATTACTTCTTTTGTATTTTGTCAACATCGTTACGTATGAACTTTCTGTGATTGTAGAATCCAGAGCTCTAGACGTGTGGTCATGGTGTGCGAAACTATCAAATTGTCCTGGATCATCAGAAATGGATTCGTAAGATCGTTAGCACGTTCGTCAGTGTCGTGTAAACGTGTCTTAATATGCAATTTTAATCAAAGTGGAGCAGCGTTCGCGTGAAGCTGTCGCGACGGTGAGCAGCGAGCGATGCAAGAGGCTGGTGCTAGCCTCCCATGCGGAGCCCCGCTGTCTGGCAGCCACGCGCCCCCCCTGCCCCCCGCCCCGCCCCCCTCGCCACATCTCCCCCGCTCACTGCGATACCTAGCGCAACCACCTCGTATTGCTAATTCATCTACCACCTTATATTCGCTAGGTACAGTAAAGACTCGTCGACAATTCTCTCATTGCCACTTCCCAAGGTTGACTAGATACATCACATATTATTTGAAATCAGAATATTTCACGTGTTACCTACAACTTAACCTACTTGCTTACATCTTTCAAGGGCACGTATGACTTTGTCATTCAACAACTTCTACAAGGTATCTAGTAGTCCAAATTCCTTTATCATGAATGGGCAAAGATTTTCCTTACGTTTCTGAATATAATCTTATTACGAAACTAGAAGACATGCGTATTTAATTCATGATTTATAAAAAAGTAGTAATGTTTTAAAATTGCTAAGATTATCAGCTCGATAGTATGTCGTACAAAAACCCAATGTGCGGTATCTCAATAACGTGCGAATTTCCTAAATAATTTGGGCATAATTAGGACGTGAGAGACGCGGCTTCTCACGTTAATCCAATAAGTAGTGACACACAGTATCACACAGTTACCTCCACATCAGATGATTACTGAGTACAATCATCCGCCAGATGTTTCAGTTTTACATTTAAACAACATTATGTAATTTATCATTATACGGTCTAGCTAATTGGTATCTTAATAGCTATTACCTAATGTTATATTTACGTACATGTTTGACGACTAGTTTTATTTTGTTGAAGAAAATACTTTTTGGTCGATTGAACATATTATTGGAGGTTCTAATTGAACAAGTGCGGTGATGGTGGTGCGACCTCGGGCCAGTGCGTAGGTCCGATTGCGACAACGCTTGACACAAGTTGTGTAAGTGGCCGATGGAAATTCCGGTGTCACCGTAACAGCGGTAAGTGTGCGGGCTAGAGTCCTGTGCGTGCGCAGCGCTTGGCGAGGCCACGGTATGAATGGAGCTCCGGTATGTAGGTCACGGTGTCGTCAATGGGCCGTCGGCAGGGCCCCGCGCAGCCGCCTCATGCGCCCCCATCGTGCCGTGAAAGTTGCCACTACTTTCGCGACTGTCGCTCTCACCATCATTACAATTTGCACTCTAGTGCAACACAACTGAGTCACTTTTAGAGCGACGTCTACTAACGTTCACATCCGCTTCGACGTTTCGTGCGTGCCTCGAAGACTTTCTGCCTCGACCCGCTGTGAGAACTCTATGATTGATTACATAAAGTCTAGTTTGGCTTGTGTCGCTGAAAATTCGGCCGCGCCGTATGCTCGTGCTTAGGAATTCACTTCCGGGTAGGTCGGAAAGTGAAATGGACCCGTCTATGATGTAATTGGAATTCGGATGTATCCGGAGTCAGCGTTACTCCATTCACTTATAAAATTCTATAGGTATTGGTTGACATAATAGACCGCGCACCGCAACCGTTTCCGTGACACAGTAAACAGTTGAAGCGATGAAGCGTAAGATGACTTTTTTCTGCCGCCACTGCATAAGTTATAAGTTTTATTTTACATACCTCTCTGAATGGCTTACAGTCGAGCGCAACAGGCAAGCGACGGTACAAAACCAATTTGAATTTACAATTAACTACTACCAGTTAGTCGTTGGTAAATCATAAATGAAGCCTCGTAGTCGTAGCGTAAATTATTAAACGACTATTTTTTCGTATGATTTTTTTTTAGATACAGTGTTACTAGATACGTAGACCACAAACGTCGATGACTGTTGGCTTGAACAATGTTAAGCATCATATCTGTAACAACTTTTTTAAAGCCATTCAATTTTGAGTTTCCATTCCAGTGTCTGTGAAGTTCAAAGCAAATAGCGTATTTATATTGTTTCTGTATTTACTCATATGATTTTATTTCAATTACTTTCTACTAAGTGCTTTACTTTAAAGTTAGGTACCTGCAAAAGAACAATATCAATTGTACTGCTGCAATCTATGTATAAAGAAGCTACTGAATTTTCAAGTTAGTGAGCTTATGAAGAAAAATACTCATTACAAAAAAAGAACTAAAAGAAGATGTGTCCAGATTTCTCCTAAGCAGAATAATTTTTTCTCCATTTCATAAATAAATATTTTTGGATAACTGAAAAGTATTGTTGTTTAACCGAAACTTCATGTTGAGGTTTCCTTCTAGAGATCATCCTCTTTTCTCTCCATCTCCATATCAATTTCGGTACGTGACATTTATTTCTCAGTCTCATAATTATACCTATTTAGGTACTGCGATTAGCCGGAAGATGTTCTTCCCCAAAACAAGGCTTCTTATTTCTTAGAGATAACTTGTCTTAGTTTCTAACAAAATCTTTAGTATTTTGTGGTAAAGTACATCTTTACTTGTTGGTATGAACGGAGGTTTAAACTCAATTGATGAGCGATGTACTGTGTGCGGTGTGTCGCACGCGCACGAACCAGCTTTCACCGAGCTCAAAGGCTCGCGCCGCCATGCATGTTTATTAACTTAACCATTTTAACAGGAATTCCCGAGGCTTCCGTTTACGTCGCTATTAGTACTTTTAGCTGTCATGGTACTTCAAAGTGTCCCGTTAAAGTCATATTAAATATTCAGTTCTAAAGCCTTCTCTTTCTCGCACGAGCTACCTCTAAAGTTTTGTTTTTGTGTTTATCTCGACTTAACACAATACACCCAAAAGAAATGAATCATCAATTAATTATCAAATGTGATGTGCATTATGCGTAAATGTCTGTTTATGACTGACTGACACCATATCCTGACTAAATTTCCTGTAATCAATACTCAGAAAACAGTTTTCCTTATCCGTTCGTAGAAGACAGTCTGAAAACTGTAAAGCTGTTACGTTAGCGACTACAAAGGAATCTTTGATTGGTACTCCGACATAGTTAACGGTCACTATAAGTAAGTCGATCGAAATCAGCGAATAGCATATTATTACGTCATTACGTAATACATGACGAGAGGTAAGTTTTAGCTGCATCGCCGGAACAGTTGAGTTTAACGGTGACCGAGGCTGTGGAGTACTGTTAGTCGCATTCCTAGAGCGGTTCGCGGCCAGGGTGGTAGGTGCAGGGGGGACGCGGCGCCGAGGAATGTGCCAGTGTCAGCACATATCCGCTATTGCTTCTATTTGTTACGATATACATGCTTAATGTTAACGTCGTACACATTCTAAATTCCTATGATTATGATCTTGTTATGTGTGCTTGCTTTGTATACATCATATTAAGCGTTCCAAGTTTTATGCAATTTTTGGAATATCAAGGCTATATATTTCATTCAATAAGTTTTATTGAAGATTGGCTTTTAAGGCATCAATTGATTTTTATGGAGGCATTCATTACTCATCAATCATTATCTAAACATTTTTATTGTTTGAATCTAAGGAAAAACAATTAAACGTTAACATTTCTTCAAGGTCACAAGTTCTTAATTTTTTTCTTTTCCTCATGCGTTTCAAGAGTGTCAACGGACTTTAAATCTCCTTTTTTAGTTGTGCTCTTCTCATCATCAAAAAAAGGAGTCAACTTTGGAAAACGTTCTAGTATTTACTTAATCTCCCTTTTCCTTGTCTACAGAAATCTGGCGTTGGGTATCGGCATCCAGAACTTCCCTGAAGGTCTGGCTGTTAGCTTGCCGCTGCAAGCCGCTGGCTTCTCCGTGTGGAGGGCATTCTGGTAAGAAAACCTTAAGATAATTCTATCGTTCTGTGGAGGTATTACAGGTCAATGCCCTCATCCCTTAAAAGAAAAGTTAAACATAGCTATTAGGTGTGCGACGTACCAAGAATACGACATTTGAACAAAGAGAATACTTTCAAATTGTCTAGACGCGATTTGCATATTTATGTTAATGCAAAAACATTTCAGTTTTACAAAGCGGACATAATTCTGATAACGCTTTCTTATTCACCGTCATGTTTCATAGCTACCTCACGTTGTTATAAATGGCTTAGAAAATATCCCTTGGCAAATTGTCAGAGTAATAATATATCAATGTTTGACAACATTCCATATACTGGTTCGTGGAATAGGGTTCACATGGTGGCAGCAAGTTTGCCGGGCGGCAGTTAGAGCAAGGCGCGCGGTTAGAGAATGCGCCCGCTCGTCGTTAGGCCGGATGCCAACGCAACCAGACTGGACGACCCCATTCCTGTTCAGGCTAATTCATTTAGCGACTGTTGCCGGCCCGACCAACTCGACTACACGCCGAGATTTGTGATGTTGCCTTCTTCAACTACAAACATGTATTACTTCTGTACTTATGCAGATTCTTTGGACACCACAATTTTCTCTAATCTGGGGAAGTCTTTACATAGATTTGCAAATATCAGGGCCATTACTAAAAAGTTAAGTTTTCTGTTTTCACTGAACAAGCAATGCCGAAAGATAGTTCCTAAACATGAGCTTGTCATGAAACGAACACATACTAAATAAATTTAAATTGTCAGAGCAAAAGGTTACTTAGGCATTGTGGTACGTGCACGCATTGTAAACGTTACCAAATAGGTAAAAGTTGTAAATAGTCGCATTCCGTCGTGTTCTCGGAACCGCTGCCCTGGCGCCGCTTCGCCGGTGCACAGCCCGCGACTAACGAGCTACGAAACACGGTAATGGATATGCCTTTGAAGAATGCTAACAAACTTTTATGAACTAACGCGGTACATAATCGTTATGCCTTCAAAGAATGCTAAATAACTTTTATTGAGGAACGCGGAAACTGATTCGCCGTACATCTTTAAAAAGCAACATTAATTTTATGATGCTGCCTTTTGAAACTTATTTTCAGTACATGGATGTGATAACATACAAACTAAATAAAATGTGTTCTGGTAGCTTAATAAGCTTCAAGACTATAAAGTTTACAACAGTTATGAAAAAAGAAATTTAGAACTTCTATAATATTTAAGTCTATTAGGATTGTGCTAGAAAAGTAACGTATCCAAAGTGAGAAGAACGCGTGGCTTCTGCGTGTGCACTTCGTAGCTCCTTAGCTGGCAGTGGCGGTAAGAATGTGCTCGAGTGGGAATCCTGGTCGTGGAGTAGGCCGGGAATGTGCGCCGAGCGACGACCCCGGCCGGCCGCTCGTGCCGTGTACCCCAACTTTAAGACACGTTGCACGCGACCGCGGGAAATTAAACGATCATACGTTTTTACAACTAAGCATTTACCCGATGAAACGCAATTACATCGCAATTTATATCATTCTTGTTCGCTAATTACATCCAACTAAGCCAAGCAGCTAAGCATAGCTCTTGTAAGGAGATGCTGTTCTATTCACCTGGCTTGCCTAAATAGGAGTTAAAAAGTGCAACTTTGTAGCAAACATGTATGGACAAGACAAACAATTAAGACCACATTATGCTTTAAACGCGAATTAGAATAACAGTGATAGAAATAGCAAAACAAACAAATTACTTTAATCATTCCTAAAAGACCATGAAAAACTTAATGTTTCACTTACAGAAAGAGACAGAATTTTCATAAGGTCACAGAAAGGGCTTCTGGTCTCAAGACTTACCATAAATGTTTATGAAAGAAAAGCTATTAATTTGGAATTCGATAATAATACCGCAATAAAGTCATAGATAGCATTTCAAAGAAAAGCTCATGTTAAAATTAATGTGAGTACAGCGAACGTAAAGACATGTACGATAGGGTCTGCGGTGCGGAATTCAAGGGGCCAGGAATGTGGACTGAGCAAGAAGTGCTCCGGCCAACTCGCATGGCCCGATACGGGATCGCATTTGCCACCGTTTCGTATGTGTTAGGCACCTTTCGAAATCGCTGTTGACATTTCCAACAATTTACATTGAACACTTCTAGTGGATCAATAAGATTGATGATGTAAAATGTTCTACATACTCCTGATCGGTTAGACTATACACATTTTTACTATAGATCTCGAATAAGGGACGACGCTTGGATAAGAAAATGCCCTTGTGCGTTCGACATGAACTTCTTAAGGTAGATAGTTTAACATGTTTTGCGATTATTGATGCTTTATGCTAATCATTTGTCTATTCTAAGATACCAAAGATTCCACAACGCCTTAGGCTGAATTGAGCTTTAGCAACCCTGTCATTATTGATAGAATGAAACTGCGATTCAATTATGATCGAATTCTTTTAAGCAAAGGTTTGTCTTCGCATTTTCAGATATAAATGCTTTTATTTAGGAAGGCTTTTACAGCTATCATACATCTTTTGTGGAAATTACTTGACGCAGTTCTTATGGCATGATATAATAAATCCAACCCGTGTAGTGATCCATTGTTGTAGACAATGCGTCTAGTCAACATTTCTCACCGCATGCGCATATGACTCACAGTGACGTAGCAAACCTCATGCTTACGCACCATGTAGGTGCCTCATCTGTTACAAATCCTAATCAATAAAAGTACTTAACAGCATAGTTCCATTTTCAAATTAAGACTCATTTGGAAGAATTGAGACATTGGAAATGAGTTTGTTATTCTATCATCTATCTGTATGTATGCAATCGATATGAAATCGATTTACAAATATTTAAAATGGTTACACCGATTACATTGAGTTTTCGTAAGTGTAGTGGCGACGGTGGACGGCGGCCGAGCGATCGTCACCGGCTCGGGCTCGAGTCCGCGTGTCTGGAGGCCGCTCTCGACGCAAGCGTCGCTATTTGGTCAGATGGTCATTGCTAACTGGACCCGAGAAAGTCGTCTATTTCGAAATTTGAGTGTTGCGTGAGGTCGGTGTGCGATGTGTCGCTGCGGTGCCGCGGAGTCTGGTGCGGTGCGCGGCAAGCGGACGGCGGCGCGCTGTCTGCGCGTTCTTCCGGACCGCACCCGTTGGACCAGTCGCAGCGCACCGCCCGCTGCCCGCCTCGGGCGATCGGCCTTCACAGTTAAATAATTAAATCGAGAGAGCGACGCCGAGCGCAACTGCCGCCACCGCCGCCGCCGCCGCTGCCGGGCCCCGAAGAAGCTGTCGCGGAAGGCGCTGCCAGCCTTGGTGGCGCTGTTCTGCGCAATCGAGGCCGGTTTGGCAGCCGCATATTGCGTTGTAGCCGCGCCTAATCTTCTCGAACACCTTCCTCAATACGTCAGATACTACTGTTTTAACTTTAACGATGACATCGCACACTCTATGACTAATATACCCTTAAGATGGTTGAAAGCCATGTCCATAACCTTACTAGCACATCAAATATACAATTATCGGTAGACGAGAACTATACTCAACCACATAACAAGAATCAAACATTGACTTCGGAAATAATGGCGACAGCAGTACCTAATCAGACTGAAGTAGCAAAAGCTTGATAGGTAACATAATCCTCAGACAGGGCGGTTAATCAGCCAGAACACCCAGATGTATGCAAACAGTGTATTATTCAAGGAATATGTTACATTTTTCAAACATAGACCTTTAGAAAGGCCATAGATGGTAGACCTTTAATAATATTCGTATTGTTCCTAGGTTCGTTTTTATAATCAACCCCTTCTACGCCATGTTAATAGACCCATTATATATTTATCATTCTGCCTACACCGTGAATATCAATATTCTAGTTATTATGTAAAGCAATATGTTACCCATGACATCAAGAACTCTGACAAGTACCATTATAAACAATGGACAATTTCCAAAAAATGTACAATGTAGGTATGTATAAATTCTTAAGCTTTTATTTAAATTCAACGTAGTTATTGAGTGACGGGTATCCTGTTTTATGGCTCGTCGGCGGCTCAACAGTCGGCGATTCTGCGAATCAGTGGATATTGTCGCAAATTGCCGCTTTCGCCACCCGCTGAATAATGCATGCGATAACATAACATCACGTCGCGCAGCCGCCGCGCCGCCGCACCGCACTCGCCGCCCGCCCCGCGCCTCACAATTTCATCAAACTCGTTTCCCCTCGCATTCCGCCTAGCATTGCCACTACATTACATGTTATCTAATGCAAATTTAAGTTCCCTATGTGCGTGTTATCATATCCTTACACAACCAGCAAACTTTCAAATGTTCATAGGTACACTTCTTTTGGGGCGACTTTCTATTCAGTTTCTACGGCTTTTCTTTCAAAGTTACGAATTCATGCTCGACCATTCGATTGTCTGATTGTCTGACTGAATTGATTCTAGGTGTTACAGTGTTCACGTGCTATAATTGAGTCAGTCTGAAAAGTTGGGGCGTTGCCGCGCTGTCGGTCCAAAGCAGGCGGCTGCCGGTTGGTGTGATGGTTACGCTGGCGGGCAGATATAGGCTGGTCGTCGTGTGGGGTGGCCCTGGCGGCGTTTCCCACAGCAGCGGCTCCTCGACCAGTTCGTCGGAATGTGGTCGCGGCACTGGCCCGCACTTTCACCAAAACAATTCGTTAGCGGCCTCTTTCGGCATCGCACCGCGCGCTTGCCTTTACCCCTCCACCCCGCTACCTACCACCCCGCCACCCGCACACGTGAAAATTAACAACATACTGATACATGACGTCGTGATCAGTATTTTGAATACGGCCCTTTTGAAGTTCCGGCTCCCTAGCCATGATGTTTTACTTTATTAACAAACAACTTGTTAAGTACCTACTTGCTCAGAAGCAAGAACCTCGGACGCATAGGTGTAGATATTTTCAGCTGAAAAGTGTTATTAGTGATTAACAATATCGAACTACCAATGGTTTTAGCCCATAAATTATATAGAAATAATTCATTCCTAACTTAAAGCGTAGATGTCTTAATTTCGACTCTCGAAAACTCCTAAAATAAGTGATATGATAACTATGCAGTGGAAAGCTTTCGTGACACTAATGTGGATTACTGAATATTGAAGTAACTTTATTCAAATTTATTGGATTCATGATTTAAGGGTCATATACGTATTATCAAGGCGATTGCATTAGTGGAAGCTATAAAAAGGTATTTATTCCTTCGAAATCGTACAAGAAACGTGACACGGCCACCTTGCAGCGCGAGCCGTCCGCTAGAATTCTTTAGAAGTTGTCTTTACCTATAACTCGTGATAGATTTATTCATTCTACTGGCACTGTAAAGTGACCTTAACGACTATGCTCTCGATAGCGAAGGTGGCTAGCCGAAGATTTACAAAGATACAGGAAGAATGCATTAAATAAGTGAGAATTTTCAGACGATCGTGTATCTCGTTATCTGTAGCTTCTAAGTAATTAATTGGTATTACAAATTACGCATGTTTGAAGTAATAACTATAGACAATGGGACGAAGAATGTGGTTAAACATTTTGTTTAAATCCAGTTCTACTAAACTAAGTATTAGTAGTAAAAAATTAAATAGAATAAATGACAGAAACCTTTAAAAACAATTTTGGTATCGAATAAAAAAATATTAAAAGATCCTATGTAATCCGGGTTTGAGGCTCAAGCGCAATAATGTGGCCTAACAAGGAAAAGGAGCGGGGTGGTTTGTAGTCGGTAAGAGCTTTTTTTGTCAGGGAAAATCATCAAATTACTTCTCCCGCCCAGGGTTAGGCGAGAGAGAGTGTCAGACTCTTACTGACTAAAGACCCCCCCCCCCCCCGTTCTTTCTCCTGCTCTGGGAGGCGATGACTCATTGCGCTTAACCTGCAACCCCGGCTGAACATCAGCCCTATAGGGCCCCGTCTGTGGTGGTCCATTGGCTCTTTGATGCTCGCGCGAAACGCTACGCGCCGTACGCTCGGATCTGGTTCTGGTCAGGCGGCGAGCTACCCTTACTCGCCGTCCGCAGACCCGCGCTTACGGTGGCCGGAGATCATCTCTCGAGTCTGTAAGAGCTTGATACTTCCTCTCGCTCCAGCCAGAGCGAGAGAAGTCATTAGACGATTTTCCCGTACAAAAAAACTCAGAAGTAAAAGAAACATTGCATGAAAATTTCTCAGATAGGATTGTAAGTAAAAACAACCTGAGAATGCACCACAAATGTGCAGAAATAACAAGCAAAATGTTGTTATTAATTCACTAGCTATTCTCGCGCGGTTTCACCCGCTGCTCGGCTCCATTTAATTGTAGCGTGATGGTTTATAGCCTATAGTACTTAGGAACATTGTAGTTATTTATCAGTGAAAGAATTTTGGCAATCCGACCAGCGGTTGCAAAGATTACCCCCTACGTACAAACTTACAAATTTCACCTCTTTATAATATTAGTATAGATAAACTGTAATTAAACATATACAACAGTAAGTCTTGTTCTAAGAAACGCATCCAAAGTGCATAAAAATCCGTCTTAGGTTGAGTAGTTGACATAGTTCGCTTCGTGCATCGCGGCCTTTCATTTCCTGTTGTCATGTCAATCCGAGCTGGACCCGCCCTAATGTTAGGGATGGTTCTAGCTGGCTGCACCTAGTTTGAAACAGTTAGAACTAGGCTTCGGCTTTGAGCCGTAACGTTTCACGTTGATTAGCGGAACGAACCGACAATTGAGAACTGTGTAGTAAATTGAAAAATGTTTGTTATACAACCCTATGCCTTGAAGTTTAATTGTTAAGGTCGTGTTTTAAATTTGTATTGAGTAAATCATTCCTTTGAGTCTATTTGAGTATTAGATGTAGCTTTTAATATGTGTTGTATAACATAGAACCAATCTATATCTATTCTATTCTAATAGGTATTATAAAGAGGTAATATTTGTAAGTTTATACGTAGGGGGTAATCTTTGGAATCGCTGGTCGGATTGCCAAAATTCTTTCACTGATACATAGCTACAATGTTCCTAAGTGCTACAGGCTATAAAACATCACGCTAAGATCAAATTGAGCCGAGCAGCAGGTGAAACCGCGCGAAAGTAGCAAGTAACTGAAAAATATAATCCTCATTAGTGCAATCGTAATTTTTTATTTCAGCTCTTGAAACTAAATTTTCAAATATAATGAGGGTAAACCTTAACTTCTATATTACCTGTCTATTATATTATGTATGCCTATCTCTATATTTGTTGAATGTTTGTCATAGGTACGGCCAGTTGTCCGGCATGGTGGAGCCCGTGTTTGGAGTGCTCGGAGCGGTAGCAGTGGCTGCAGCCCAGCCCGCTCTCCCCTACGCACTGGCCTTCGCCGCTGGTGCCATGATCTATGTCGTCGCCGACGATATTATACCAGAAGCAAACGCATCGTGAGTATTACTTTTTTATATAGTAAAGGGCAAAAGAGCAGGCCGGTTATAGCTAACAATCTAGAAGACCAGAAAAGTCACAAATGAAATGCATATAATTAAGAAAAAGTACGCTATGTTCTTTATAAAAGTGGCAATTTTACGTGCCAGAAAATTTTCTACACAATGTATAGTAAAAGATAGTAAAGAAAGTATAAGCGAGACTAAACTGGAGATACCTTATCTTCAAAAGTTACCAACCAAGTGTAATTTGTTTCGCAACTTACCTATGTACACGTGAAATAAGCTTTCATAATCCAATACGAATTGCTTCTCTTTGATTACCGAACTTAGCATTTTAGCAAACAATTGAAAACCAGACGTCTTTCAACCAAAATAAAAGATGTTTTCCCATACTAGACGTTGTCTCTCTCAAGTCTCCCTCCTACTGATTAGCACAGATAAGGTGCTGTTACGTACGAGAACACACTACATAGCTCCCCTTACGACGCCGATTTTAAAGAAGTGTCCATGAAACTGACCCAAAAACTTCCTGTGTACGAATATCCCTTTGTTGTCGACCCCTGTAGAGACTGCCCCCGTCTCTTTGATGTGTAGGGCTAATGTCACCTTTTATTATCCAAGTTGCTATTCACATACTTAAATATTCAGATCAAGACCACTGATATACTCCTAATGGATAACATTTTGTATGTAGATCATATATACAAATATTGCATTAAACATCAAGTTCTGCAAATTATCTATGTGAATTTGTGCGATTTTCCTCTAGAAATTTCTACTTAAGGCAAGGAGCTTACACATGTTATTCTTGCAAATATCCCATATTTTCCTTCTGTATTGCATTAAATAAAAACTATCTACTCAGTCCCTTCAACAGCACTATCTGGAAAACATGAATCAGACACGTGTTGAACACGACGTAGAACGAATGTGTATACGGTACACATAAGCAAGAATTACATTAGGGACCGTTACATATCGATATGAAACTATAGTATATCAAATCTCCGGGCTCTTGACATAATTGGACTGACGAGGGTCGTCTGTGTTTGATTGTTCTGATTCATGTCAGTATTTCGGCCGATATAGATTGTTAACCGTCAATATGTAGAGGTCCGTTGGGGTGAGAGCGAAGGACAAGCTTCCCCTTAGCGACAGTATTGTTGTCCGTCTGTAGTATTGTTACGGACCGGTTGTGACTCCTTTCCGGAGTAGCCTGTCTGTCGAGCCCGTTATCGACTAATTGTTCCGTGTCCTGGGACCAAGGAATAGCAGCTTTGAAAGCGTGGTAACCGCTTACAACGATGGTTCTGAACGCGAGGCGTTTGATCCAACCAGTTTGTTATACGGAAGTTCTACACCAACAATTGGTTTCTTTTTCTTTACTAACAAAACGCCTCAGTCGTTGAATTGTTTACTTGCTTGCGACAAAATTCTCGTGACATTTGAATGACAGATACATCAATGGACTTTCGATAAAGTCTGGTGATTTAAATGAACACAAGCTGTTGTCGGGCGACTTATTGTGTCTGCAGTGTGCGCTGTCTGGACGTCTAGACGAACAATTTACCAATATAACTGTAACATACGTACAGGAATGATGAAAGGATATTTTCGTAGAAGCTTTCAACAGTTCTCACGATTTTCATGTGACTGTCAGTTCGTGTGGGAACGTTTATGAAAATATAAAATATCATTACTGACTCTCCCTATACATTTTGGCTTAGGCGTGTGTGTTTTAGAAGAAGAAATATGGTTTTTCGTGATTTATATTTGTTAGCTGTGGGTTTCTTCGGCATTTTTAAAAGCTGATGTTTGCAAATCTGGATGAAAATACGTGGTTTCGCGAAACACTGGCACCTGTAATTACTTTTGTTAAAACAATGCTCTTTATACTTGGCTATTGAACCTGTTTTCTTTTGATTTAGAATTAAAAGAGTAAAAAACGGTCCAGTCTCCAGAATGCATAAGACGAAATCACCAATAACGGAAATAAATAATAAACAAGTGTGTACTGAGCGTGCGCGCACGCAGCACCTGACACTCCCCCGTGAAGCACGCGCGCGCATCTCTTAGCCTGATTAGCATTATCATAGAATATGACAACTGTTTGCTCTCCACGAGAGCTCTTCCATACCTCTTAGAGTCTGAGAATATTTTGACCAAATTATATTTATAGCACGTATACGATTTTTTATTGCCTCTTTCTTTGGCTTTTATTTCCTCTTTTATATTTTAACCAAAAATTTTTACAATGCTTTAGAATTAGATTTTAACATGTTAGAAGAGATCGTACAGAGCTTCAACATTTCAAATGTTCAGTTATGAATAAAAATGTTTCTAAAATCAGTGAAAGCTTTACAAGTCATACTAAAGAAGCTCGGAAAATCAAAGAAAAGTTGTCGGGTTCTCTGTTTATTTATTTGGTGCATCCTTTACATGTGTGAATAGAGTTTGCAGTGTATGCAATAATAGCAAGTGAGACAATAGCGTTTTGCATAGCACGGCACGTGAAGTGTAGGCGCGCGGCGTCGGGCGTCGCGACGCAAATACCCGGCCCGAAATAGCGGCGCGCCGTCTAACACCCCGGACGCGAACCCGTAGCGCGACATCACAGCCCGACGTTTATTACCTACCAACATGTCCCACTATTTGTTACTCCACATAATAAAATTAAAATACGACTTTAACGCCAGACGACCCAATTTTTCGTGATACCAATTTGTTTTATGCATTTCAATGTAGTTCAGCTTCAGCTTGATTTGTAAGATTTTTGCGCAGAATTTTAAATACATATTAAGTTAGTAACACAATGTAACTAAAGAGATACATAGTTATGTGCTGGATATATACATATTCTACTATATGTGTCGTCATGAGACTTTTACAGGAGATAACAGTTGAGCACCATCGAAGATTTACTGAGTTGTGTTCAGTACATGTTTATGAGCATACAACCTCTTTAACATATTGAACACCTGTCACCTGTTCACCACATCTGATTTCGTTTCTCTTTTTTGCATCGTCAAAGAATCCTTCATAGTTTTTCTAAACCTTGATTTGTAATTAATGACTCCTTATACAAACTTTCTTCGTTTGATATTATACAAAAGGAACTCTTTACAATTACTATCACCCTCATTGAACAAGATCTAAGTTTGTGTCTTAATTCGGCACCAACACCAAAAATTGTATTGTATGAAATCTAGTTTACCTTTTTGATCCTAAATAACTAAAGGTACCAACATCCTCGAAATCTCATCGCATTGCCGGAACACATTGTATATTATATCCAAAGTATAACTACAGTTCAACTGTAAGAATTAGCTTTTGATAATATTGCTGAGATCGCAAACTATCAATAGCTACAAAGCGATAAAAGCTAAATCAATAGGAGCATTATACACATATTTCCACTGATCTTTAAAATCAGAATTTTATATAATATGAAGTGCCCCATTTGGTAACATTGGTTTGTATAACTGAAATTCATCAGAATATACAAATTCAATTCCATTCTTGTAATTCAATTCTATAAGGAGTTTCTACAACGTCCCGTACCTATAGGTTTTGTGATGATGAGCATAAAGGGCGCCCGTGGTGGTGGTCGGCGCGGCGCGTCTATTTGCAGCGGGCGGCGGGCGGGCGGCGCGCACGCAGGGCGGCGCGGCACAGCCTTGCGTGTTATGAAGTAAATTCGGTGCGGCGCGCCATGCGTGGGTTTGTCACCGTCTCGCCACTGTCAATAACAATAAATATAAGAAATAACGCGTTTGTTGCTGGGATAAAGACGGTGACGACGCTCTAGTTTGTCTATGCGCTGACGTCACTGTCTGGGAATCCAGTGCGCCGCCGGCCGACACTCCCTGACCTACCTCCAGACATCGCGCCGCATACACCCCGCGCACCACCATAGCCCCTTGTACAGTATTTACTGGTCGCTGCCGGATCCTTGCATAACTTGTTGGGGTTACATTTATCGAAAACAGTGGAATTGAATGAAAGCATTAATTAGTAAACAAATATGTATATTAGATACAGTCGATTTCTTATATTAATGAATTCTTTAATTCATTCACCTTCTACATAAGTAGAGTAATAGTCTAGAATAGATTTGACGAAACATCTACATAATTATCCACTACATTTCTAAACGACAAAACTTGTCGTATACCTACATACAGCACAACAAATTACAGACGGCTGTAAGACTGAACTCGGAAAATGAGACGTTTCAGACGAGTTCAACTGAACATTGCTACCAATTAAGTTAATTGCTCATTCAGACGTGCGTACAATCTCTAATTATTGTGTAGCTAGATACAATCCGTTGATAAACCGCGATTAGTTTTCACGTCAGCTTCGAGTTTGTCTTGAAAATTCCTCAGTTTTTGGGCGTGATGTCAGCAGCGGTATTTAGGTGCATGTCGTGTCTCCAGTCGGGGTTCCCCACGGCACGTGACCAGAATATACGCCGACCTGTCATACTCGTTAACATGGAATACTCCAACAATACACGTCGGTATGAGCCGGATGTCTAAACTATACTCCTCTACTTAATTTCCCTTGGCCAACTCTCTTGCAACTTAAACCACATTGTATTCCTGATTGGGTAAGGATACGATTAGGAGTAATACCCGAAACTGGATTTACCCATCTTACCTAAACCGCTGTTTATATTCATACTCGGCATTAGGTCACCTACAAACATTGATAAACAGACGCTACAAGAATATTATGAATTAAAATGAATGGTCTGCGCAGGCGCATCAACAAATAACGCTCTATTGAATACGCCGCTAGATGTAGACATGAAAGAAATTATTGAATTACGTATACACACCAAGTTACATCACGCACACTTCTTAAGTTTAGCATAAAGTACCTACCTCAGTTTCTTACTAAATCAATCTATTTCGATTGGGAAATTTGTATTCCGTGATACTTAAGAAACTTGTGAATATTAAAGTTGGACATGTATAACATTATTCGTTACCAGATTATTAACAAGGCGCAGTGGTAAAGTTTATAGCGAACAATCAGTTTACCAATAAAATTGTGTATGTACACAACGTGGTATATAGCTAAGTACTAGGAATCGTTTTAATGTAATGGCCTGTAATTCCAGTTAGTGTATTCCGGCCGGCAGGCTCAGCGAGCCGAGTGCGTGAGACGCAAGCGCCATCGGCGGTCTTTCCGATATCGTAATTTTGCTACCTATTTGATATTCAAATATCGTTTACTCGTTATTTCTCAATGGCCGGCATTGTATGACGACAGCATTTTATAACGGACCCCTATATGTTATTATGTACATACCATTATGTATATCACAGTCCAAGTGCGTCAGTAACGTATTACTGCCTCCTTAACACGAGACATACATTTTAATGTGTTTATGATGTGTCCGTTTACATTGTAATATAAGTTTCCGGCTGTCCGAAACAACTCTAACTATCCTTCACGTTTTGGTAATCTCAAATCTAGAAGTGGAGATGCGTGTGTGGAAATTTTATCAGCAATGGCTTATTTAATGTGGTCATAATTTGAAACTATCTGCGTTTTGCGATACAAGGATGACTGTTGAACATTTTTCAGTAATGTAGATTTTGTAAAAATAATCTCAACCTTAATTAATTGCATGAGATACTGATACATATACCATTAATTATTTGCACAACAAGTCTAAATTAGGTGTTTTAAGAATTTGTGTACAAATATTCCCTTTGTTGGCAGTGGTAACGGCAAATTAGCGACATGGGGCTGCATCATCGGCTTCGTGGTGATGATGTGCTTGGACGTGGGGCTCGGGTAAGTTCCACCCGCCGCCACTCACGCCGTGCCTTCACCCGACTCACGCCGACTTAATGCTGACTAGTATTAACGCTCTGAGATACCCCCTGTAAGTTAGATGTAGATATTTTTGTATAAATCCAAATGTGCTCATCACCATCTTGATTTTGGATACATCAGATTGCCTCTTAATTTCCTACAATTTGACTGAAACTACATTATGTTCACAGAAAGTGTATTAAAATTTCAAAAATATTCCATTAAAAAAAATATTGTTTCGGAATCTGAATTTATCAATAATTTAATTGCATAATGAAGCGATCTCAACTTTTAGGCGGTCATTAAAAGGTTAAGAATCCATCGCTCGAAATAGTTGCACGGCACACGAGTGTGTACGTGTCTCAAATTTTATACGTTTTCTATAAGTAATTGGTTGTATTCAGTTCTCTAATTGGCTCGCAACAGGTAGCCACGGCGGACACACGCCGATGATACTTATAATCTACTCTTTGTGTATTGAAAGGAAAGTCTCAAGTAAACGTTCTATTCATGTAAATGTCAATTGTATCCAAAATCATCATTTGTATACATCATTATACTGATTGTAAGTGAATTTCTAAGCTAGATACTTACTGGCCACTGCAGAGCTAAGTAAGAAGTTTGTAAGTTTAGTTGTATTGCATTAATGTGGTTCATCTTGCGACTTGAGTTCGGTCACTTAAAAGTGAGACTAAGGTTGTCGCAATTTTATGAAACATGTTTTGTATCCATTGCCAAGTCGCATAACAGCATCAGCAGTAGTCCATGTAACTTGATCTACGGAATAGTACGATAGTTGTTTATATTGCGGGATCCCGCAGCCAAATTATTTATAATCTTGAAGGTGGAATTCGTTGTAAATATGTAAAGTGTATGATAGCTGAAGTGCAAGTAGTGCATAGTTGATGCGGTTCCATCCTGAAGCTGACCAATTGGAATTAATTGTATGACTCTCGTCTCTAATGGCATTATTTGACTAAATACTTTGAGCCGATATCTGTACCGATCACAGCGTAACAGAATTGCAATAAAAATAATCATCGTAGATTCTTTCACAAAATACGTAGTAGTAGATATCCTGAAGTTTTCAGGTCTTTTTGCTAATTTTATTGTATTATCTATAGTGATAATTAATGCGCATTATAGAAATACCAATAATAACAATCTAATAATCCTTTGTATTTCTTATTTTCGACGAAATCCTGTACGAATTTGAAGCACTTACTTGGTAGTACACATTTTGAATGACAAGGTAAACTTTGGCAGCCCAAGGAATTGCGAGCTTTATCCCACAACTCGTGGTCAAATCTTATAAATTCCAAAAATGATATTAATCTTTTTTATATAAAAGTATGGTCCTAATAAGATATTACTAATCTGTAAGATTTTGTGGTATACCGGTAATTTGGGTTAATGTAGATTTTATTGCTTAGTTACGAATTCCACCTGTTCCTGCGCCCTGGATGTTGTTGTCGACGTATTTATTAGTTTATTATTTTCCTTTTTAGTGAGATTTTACTCTGACACCAACGTTCAGGTGTATTTTATTGATTTAAGCCGACATTTTAAGGCCTGTGCTTGTCAGTCGCAAACGCAGTACGCGGAGACATACATATGCATGTTCCCAGTTAAGTCAATTAAATCAATGATTTCACTGTTCAAAATAACTGTGACAGACCTTTCTACTGTTCACAGAACTCAATAATTACTTTTCAACCATGTCTATGATAGACTCTTTCTTCGAAAGTTGCATTCTTGATATTCTATACCTCTACGCACTTAGACAATTAAGTACGAGTAGTTTGCTTGAACAAACACAGGCCTTATTCTTATATTTAACTAGAATAAAATTTAAAAGACAATATGAACATTTTATAGGGTTTTAAAATAGCCTAAGTAATTGAAAACATTCATGAAATATAGTAATAGTTGTTACGTGATATGAACTTCTGAGATATGCTTTGTAATGGTAGACTATTTGTGATGTTCAAGAACATATTCCAAATAGGAAAAAATAATTGCTTGGTAAAAGCAATGGCTCAAAAGTTCACATCACTCAATCGATTAAATGTTTAAATTCCCAAAAACATATTATAAAATTATTTTTATTTTGTAAAATAAAATATTTATTTAAGGCGAATTTATTTTTACACGCTTCCAAAGTTTATGTGTAGTTTTAATGAGAGTTCAAAGTGTTTATTTTTGCATTTATCCATCAAACTTGATTGAGTTACCTGTCACAATAGCACAATTTTTAGTTCCATTACATTGTTACTTAAAATTACTTTTATTGTTTTTATATTATACAAAATGCAGTGTACGTCTGTGGTATTATTTAATGTTGAACACTTTATTTCCTTGTTCCTGACCTCCTCTGTCTGTCTATTGAATGTCTGGACTTTATATAGGAACCCTGCACCCTGCCTTTTTCCATTATATAATATATTTATATTAATATTATTAAGGAGAACCTCTTCAATTTATTATATTATGCCAATATATGTAAAACTCTGGTATAGAGAGAAAAAAAGAAGATTTTGCCCATTTAGAACCATCAATTTACCGCATATTCGTGTAATAAAATGCTCTACTCGATATCTAGTTGTAGGTGGGTCCCATAATCATCTCCTTAGTTTAAAAATATTCCGTTACCATCCGACCGCGCTGGTACCAACGGAATGTGATTTTACCTCGTAACAAAAGTTTTCCTTATCGAGTGTATTTAAATGGAACGGGACCGATAAACGGGGCCCGGCTGGGTCGTTAATAAACCTGGTCGTAGATATGTACCAGCAACACCACTTCCTCTTGTGTACGTATCATATGTCACCAACGATTTCAATTTAAACAATCTTCGTCTATAGACTTCTGTAACAATAAGGCCCAAATTGCAACACGTGATAATACCAATCTAATTAGGTTTTGTTAAGGTGCTCTCTACTTTCCAGAACTTGTGTAGGTAAAATTTGAGTGTCTTCAAGTCGAGTAGGTTGCTGATAGAAAGGCTTGCTAAATCATCGGCTGCGCCATCAAAGATCGGTCAATCAGACAAGCTAGCAGCCAAATTATAATAATAAGAAAGAAAATATGAGGTATGGAAAGAACTGGGCCCCTTTTTTATTCAGCAATTATAAAAAACTCTAGAGCCCATCTTAGCACAGATCACAAATTCTATATGAATGCAGAAAACATTTAATTTTGCTTTCGGTGCAGAAAGTGGCTGTGGTACTAATAGGAAAAGAAATCGGTGCAAATGCATTTGCGGATCAATCCGTATTCTGTGAATAGGACACATATATAATCCACAAAATAATATAAGATCATACTGTTTTCATACGACGAAAATATGAGTTTTAAAGAAACTGATAAAATAGACTTGAATGAAACTATACACTAATATTAAAAATCTGTACCAAAAGTGTTTATTTTTTTGCTACTGCAAATAATACTGCAATAAGCAGAAACAATAATAAGTCGAGGGTTGCAAGTGCAAGCGCAACACAGGAGAAGGAACGGAGTAGTTTTAGTCAGTAAGTCTGACACTTCGTCTCGCCTCTCTTTCTGGAGACATTATTTGATGATTTTCGCGTCACAGAAAAGGTCTGAAATATCAAGTACAGACTATTTTCTTGCTTGTAATGATAACAAAGCTGCTGGCGGTAGCTAATCATAATGAGTAGCGCATAACTTAACAATGCTTGGACCAATTTTACCAAAACTTTTTTGTTTTGCTTGTTTTGTCAGGAACCGTAATTAATGAATGAAAGAAAAAAATGAAGCACAACTTTAAAAGTAGATGTGAAAATCTTGAAATAGCAGACCTTTTGACTGTACTGCTGATTGTTGATGGTTCGATAACAAAACAAATGATCGACACCATGGTGTTTTTTGTGAGAGGGAAATCATCTATCGACTTCTCGCTTCCAGGATGACGCGAGAGGGTGTGTCAGACTCTTACTGACGATGACTAAACCCCTCTCTCCCTCCCCTTTCCTTCTCCTGCTCGAGACAGAGGCCACTAGTTGTCATTATTATCTACATTAAAAAATGTTAATCAAAATACCTTCCTAACACCATTACATTGTATCTAAGGTCATATTATCTAACAGAATGATGTTGCTAAACACCATACAAATAAAATTAGGTAAGTAACATTTCGCAGGCACCTACATACACATCACCAAGATTCGCCTTTCTCTGAAGAACTTTAGACAAAAGGAATGCAGAAAGGAATTTGCCCGTCATTACAGCAGTTACGTAAACGACTTTCGATACCTGCGCCTAATTAAATCGAATTTTAAGATCCTCCTTTAGAGGTCTGATACCTTAGTACTGCAGATATTTAAAGTATTTCCATTGGTTAGGTTTTTAAGTGATTCAAACTTCATTTAAGTTAAAAGATCTGAGGCGCTCGTTAACATTATAAAAGTTTGAAAAGAGAGAATAATGTTTGATTTCCAGTTCCTGAAATATTGTAGGTAGTTAATAAGGACGCCCATAAACACGTGCTACTCCAGAGGAGTCAAAAGTATGTTATCAGTTTTTTTAGGGATTTAGAATAAGAGTTTTAGAAAAGATTTATCACAAAGCCGTATTTTGTATTTACCTAAATATTTATGGAATCTTCCAAATTTTTGGTAAACCATCTAATGATTTCTCCCGTCTAGGGTCGGGTGGGAGGGAGTGTCAGGCTCTTACTGACTAAATACCCCCGTTCCTTCCCCAAGCTCTGCTCTAGGCCAAGAGGCCGGTGCCTCATTGCGTTTGCCCCGCAACTCTGATAGTATCTTCCATCTGCACACCACTTTAATTGAGGGGAAAATCACCTATTGACCCTTCTCCTGTACAGGCCGAGACCGCGTTACTTTAAATCGGTCCTTGCCCCTCGACCCCGACGGAACACCAGCGCTGCTAAAACCCTTTTGTGGCAGTTTCGTGGCTCTTTGAGGCGCGCCCAGAACGCTACGCTCCGAACGCTCGGGATCTACATATAACTAGCTTTATTAATTTATTTTATGCTACATTTTTATATCTTAGTTATATGTATATTGTAAATTCTTTTATTTCCCGATAGATTCGTTTTTGTTTTAAGCTTGCAGAAATACCTAATAATGCTTATCACCAAACCCAAGATACATTTCCAGACTTTAATTAAACTATTTCCTTTTTTAGTATAAGTTAGGTTAGGTTAGGTTACCTATATTCAGTCGTGTTTCATGCAGGAAAACTACTGACAAATACCTGCGATTAAAGGATATTGTAATGCCTGGAAGTGAAACTTTAATAACAAAATCTGATTGCCCATAGTGCTCGAAGAAACGGTCATAAACAGAAACTGTAGGGGGTTTCAGTGTACTTTTATTTTCGGACATGTACAGTCAGGGGTCAAAAATGCAATTGCACTCTACCAATTTTAAAATGACCAAAAAATCTTTGTAGAACAGAGTCAATGGTCGAGGACTGCTTTAATTTATAGCAACGAATCTAAATTATTGAATAAACTGGCTGTGAACTTTTACTACAAAGAAATTTTAGTCAATTTAAAATTGGTAGAGTGTATTGCATTTTTGACCCCTGACTGTACAAGGGTTGATATTTTACTTAATAAAACATATATTAATTAATAAAAACACTTCTTCAGGAACGTTCTTGGGTCTTGCGAAAAGTTGTTCAAGTTCGAATGGTTTTCGCGGAAAAAATGTGTAAATTGACATCTTATCATGAACACTTGATAGAGACTCTATGGAGGTATGTATGTAACATGAATTGTGCATGTTTCAAGTTTTTGAGTTAATCGCAAGCTTTCTTTGCATCCACACTCTAAATATCACCAAAATCATTATGAATAAATAACCACCCGCTAAATAAATCTTCTCTCGCCTTTCAACATAAAAAGCGAGGAAGATAACAGTTTTCTATCATTTTAGTGTACGTTAATGTTTCCGCCA